GTGCAGACGGTGAAATGGGAGTAGGTTTAAACGCAAAAAATGCATACATGAAGCAGAAACATCGTATGATCTGGGAGCGCCGTCACGGACCAGTAGGTACCGGCATGAAACAACAACCAAACAATGCGTAGCATACTTGAACCGGCATTGTAGCTGATTATATAAATTTAATGGCAAACGCATTCGTACATTATGGATCTGAATTGCATGTTTGCTTAATATGTACAGATGTGTTGTGATTTAAAGACGACGGGATAATAAAAATAATTTATCAGAATTTTAATCTCTCATTTGTAATCTCTATAACAATCTTCCGTATCTTATAACGATATATATAAAACCACACAGCGTGCATCGACAGCAAATCTTTGAATATTGCATGAATCAATATATCTTTCCTTTTATTTCTTCATTGTACAATATATAAAAAGATTATACCTATTGTACATGTATATCAAATTAATTTATGAAATATTCATTTAGACACGATTCCATCGATGATTTATACATTACAATTTCTTTTGTTTTTTTATTATGATAAAATCATCCTATATAATATATATGAATTTTCATTTATACAGTTTTTCTCCGTTTTGACATCATATTTTAACCAGATTACTCATCCGTTATTTAAAATGCCAAAAACAAATTTGAATACGCATAAAACTTATTTAGCGTTTAGGCATTTAGAACATAAGACAATCTCATGTACCATACACGATGGCACACATTTAATACACAAACTTAAAATACTTCCAACTATTTGAATGAATTAAAAGTTTCCTTCTACAGGACACATACGCATAGAAATTTCTTTTTTTTAAGCAAATATAAAATACATAGAATTCATTATTATGCATAAATATACAACACGTAACGAAACCATTTCTTTAATAGGAATAAATTAACAAAATATTTAAAAAAGTCATGAATACTACACGATCTTCGTAACTATCTAATACCTGACGTTCGACTGTCATACTTAACATGTATCCGCGAATTTTTCAGTGATCCGAGAGATGAAGATGAACATTACGTATACCTTTCTCCTCCTCCTCCTCCTCTCTCTCTCTCTCTCTCTCTCTCTCTCTCTCTCACTCACTCACTCACATACTTTGTTTTTTTTTTAAAATAACGTATTACGAGATAAATTGGCAAATTAGTATCGCATAAAAACTTGGAATTCATTGTAGCTATAATCCTACAGTACAATCTAATTGATCTCTCTATGCTGCAAATTATTACACATCCACGTCATATTTACAATGAACATGGAGTATACATGATTAAAAGAGATCCATCACACATTCATTTTTTTCTGTACAATTAAAAAGACTTGCATTTTTATTATACATCTGATATTACGCATTCAAATATATTGGTAGAACATTATAAAAAAAAGTTCTGTATTAGGCAGAGTCACAAGGGTATACTCCCATCATTGCTCTTCAAATGAAAAAAAAAAGCGCAATAGCCGCTATAGAGATATATTCGGTGCAAATGTTTGTCTCGTCTCCTTTTGAATAAAATTACATAATATTTGTCGCCATTTAGTAATTTCTGGACGAATTTGTCTCAATGACCTTTGTAAAATTTTCCTCTCGTCGCGCTATTACATCCTTCCGATTCTGCCATACAATAAGCACTAATCTCAAAACATCGAAGTTTTTTTTCATCAATAAAATTATTTTCTCTTTCCTTCGCGTATCGCAAAACTCACGTGGCAACATCGTATTATAATCATTCAATTTTACACATCTATCATCGCTGTATCGCATAATCGCACTTATTCACATGATACATTCGTAAAATTATACATTGAACAATAAAAAAATGTATCCGTATGGTGAATGAAGAGAAATTCGTAAGATAATTAACAAGATGAATAATTGAAGGTGCATGGTATAGACAAGAGAATTTCGTTTATCTTGTAATTGGCAACAATTATACGTAATTATCATATTGTATGTTATATGAATGCAACTCACATTGTCCTTGGCAATGTGAACATAGGCAAATCGAAAGAAGCGTTTCTCAACGATAATTTATTTACAAAAGAGAATTGTGTGTGTGTGTGTGTGTGTGTGTGTGTGTGTGTGTGTGTGTGTGTGTGTGTGTGTGTATTTGATGACTACGGATGAACCTAGTCTAATGTTCTTCCAATTTCGTTTAACGAATATAAAATAAAAAAAGGAATGGATATAAAAATTATTTTTTCACGATATGTATTGTTAACTAATCAAAACAATCAAGTAAAAATTGATTGTAAATTTGATACAAACACATGAATAAAGATTAAAATAATATCAAATGAGATAGAATGTTAATAAAAGAAAATATTAGATGGGACATAAAAAAGATTTAGATGTAATTACATATTTCACAAATGTACCGGGTCACGCTTCTTGTGTGTGATTTACCACAAAAAATTTAATTATTGCCATCCCAAGCTCCCTTCTTGATGTAGTATTTACTATCATCTCGCTTCTTTTTATATCCTATATCACAGTACGAAAAATGCTACATGTTTTCCTAGCCATCAGTACATGTCATTCAGTATAAACGTCGCTCACACTTCTTTCTTATTATGATTCTGATTATACAATCATAATCTATTCGATGTATATTTTCATACTCTTTGAAAATAATTCGTGCTATAATCCTTTCCTTCCAGTTTGCATAATCAACATTTAATCTATATGGATTTGTTGTAAATTTTGAGCATAAATTAAGTATGGTACCTACCATATTCATGGAACAGTATAGGTAATTTAAATCCATTTTAGATGATAATCTATTGAAGTCCATTGAAATCCGAAGCTTTTTGTTATTTCCATGAAAAAATTGATTAAAACATAATCTGGTTTTGATCCTGAGTTTATCACTTTTTTAATATCTCTCTTTTCCTGCTTTTCTGCTTATGGCTCGATCGGTTGATTGAATTGGGCCGCCAGACGTCTTTTGCCTTTAACTAGCGAGATAAACATAGTTTCCTGATATTTTAAAGCGAATGAGTATATACGTATGTATATATAATATGATTATTTTATAAAACATTAGTTGATATAGAAAAGGGCTCTCTCTCTCTCTCTCTCTCTCTCTCTCTCTCTCTCTCTCTCTCTCTCTCTCT